TTCCTTCAGGTGTTCGGACTATACGTCCGAATACTTTACGTTTTTCAAGTGACGCTAATTCTGCCTGGATAGCGTCTTTCTATTTTTGCCAATCATTTCTCTGTCTACATTCATCGACAGATCTTGGTTCAAGATCCTCATCTTGTTGCATTATTTTAACAACAACATTATAAGTAAAAATGTTGTCGATAATAATATTATTTCGGTTCCACCTTTTTTCCGTAGAGACATAACTTATTGAGATCTTTCATTCTTATTATTTTCAGGTACCTTGACCTCCTCTGAGGTCTTATCATTTCTTATGCCACAGGGCTCTTTTTGAGCAATTACCTCCATATTATTATCTCCTAGATCATTTTCTCCTTTTCGCATTCGAGGATTTTTATCTTTGGAACCAATTGGTCTACCACATTTCAAGCATGCCATAGACTCATTTGTATTTATAGATTATCCAATTGGGACATCAATTCAAATAAGAGCATTAGCAGCTGGAATATGTGACTTAGTCACCCTTGGTAGGTTAGTGAATGCATCAGGTAGTTGGTTTAAAATATTTTATAAATAAATTATCTTTTGAACCTCATGTTCACATTGATTTGTTCGAGGATCTAAATGAGATAGTGATAATGCATTCCAATCTATCTCCTTTTGCAACTGCTTATTTTCTCCCCCCGAATATTGAGTATTCTGATTCATCAAAATGACAATCAACAAATCTTGCCGTAAATAAATCTCCAGTTATAGGTTCCAAATATTTTATAATAGAAGGAGATTCATACCCAACATATATACCCAATCTTCTTTGGGGTCCCAACTTTGTGTGCTATGGTGGAGCAATTGGAACATATACTGCACATCCAAATATTCTAAGATGGAAAATATTTGGCTCCTGACTAAAAGCCAATTGTATTGGGGAGACTTTATGATAACTTGTGGGTCTAATCCACACAAGAGCTGCTGGATGCAAAATAGCATGGCCCCATGCCAAAATGGGAAATTTTGTTCTCATAAGCATTAGTCTAGCAATTAATTGGAGCCGTTTGATCAATGATTCCGCTAGACCATTTTGAGTATGAACATGAGCAATTGGATGCTCAATTGTTATCCTAGTTGTTATGAAATAATCATTAAAGGCCTGGGACGTAAATTCACCAGCATTATTAAGACGAACTGTCTTAATTGCATAATTTGGAAATTGTGCTCTTAATCTTATTAATTGAGCTAGTAACCTCGCAAAGGCCAAATTGCGGGTTGATAACAAGCACGCATGTGACCATCTTGTAGATGCATCTATCAAAACCATATAATATCTTAATGGTCCACATGGAGGGTGTATGGGCCCACATATATCACCCTGTATACGTTCTAAAAATGCAGGAGATTCAACTCCAACTTTAATTACTGATGGCCTAATAATCAGTTTTCCTTGAGAACATGCAGCACAAGAGAATTCTTTAGTTTGAAGAATCTTCTCGTTCTTCAATAAATGACCATGTGAATTCTCAATTATTTTGCGCATCATATTATAATCGGGATGGCCCAACCGGTCATGCCAAATAATAAAATTATTAGTAAACTCCTTGTTTACTATGGCATGTGATTCAACTACACTAATATTAGTATAGTATAATCTAGAGGAAGATGCGGGAAGCTTTTCAAGTATATACTTCTTTTTCTGCTTTTATTGTAGTAACATAAATGTATTCAACCTTTCCTTCATTGATAGTCTTAATATGATAGCCATTTTGGCGAATATCTTTGAAACTCAACAAATTTCGTTGAGACCTACTACAATATAATGCATCACTAACAACCAATATAGTTCCTCCTGGTAGTAATACAGTCGCTCTTCCATAGCCCTCAATTAATTTTGTACTACCAGATATTGTTATGATATTGGCTTCTTTCATAATTAAATAAGAGAAATATCTATTATCTTTTAATATGATGTGCGTCGTAGCACTATCCAGAAGACATATTTTTTTTTTATTATTCATACGGACAACTGAAGATTGGGAAGTTTTCATATTCTTCAAGAAGAAAATAAATACATCATAAGTAATATTGAAAAGTTTAAGAACAAAAGAAACAACATTTATGAAATTAAATACTAACAACATAAAAAGTTTTAAATATGAACTTCATAAAAAGAAATACATTTATTCTTATAATTTTTCCCAATAATAAGCCTTCAGTTATGATGCTCAAAGAAATCTCCAGCTTCTAAATGAGTAATATCTGCAAGGCCTTCAAAAATATCATCTTTATAGGCAATGTTTGCTTCAACTTTATCATGATTATTCATAGGGCCCGCCTCAACATCATTTTGAAAAGTCAAGTTAGTCTCAACTTTATTTTGTTTCCCTTTTATAGATGCTTGATAAAATTTGACAAACTGTTCAGGTGTACGATAAATTCGTGCCCAATGATTTTTCATACCACATCGGTGGCAAACATTACCTTTGCCTTTTGAAGGATTATTCTGAGAACCCTTATTGTTCACTTGTTTATAACGACCACCACCATGACGATTATTATTTCGCCCCTTGCCACGCCCACGTATATTTATATAACCACAATAATTATTTTGTCTTTTTTCAGACTTGGATCTATCGTTCCCATATTCGCTTCTGAAAATGGAACTGGTCCAGTGGGGCGGGCTTCATGATTTTTCATTAAAAGGGCATTATGTTGTTCAGCCACCAAAAGGTATGAAATTAACTCTTAATATTTGTTAAAGCCCTTTTCACGGTATTGCTGCTGTAACACCATATTTGAGGCATGAAAAGTGGAAGGAGTCTTTTCCAGCATGTCCTCATCATTCATAGGTTCCCCACATAATTTTAGTTGGGAAATTATCCTATATACAGTAAAATTATATTCACTTATGGTCTTATAATCTTGTAGCCGTAAGTGCATCCACTCACGACGAGCTCTTGGCAATACCGTGGCCTTTAGGTGGTCATATCATTCCTTCAAACTAGTGCATAATTGAAATGGATCTTTCAAGGTTAAATATTCACTTTTTAACCCTTCATCGAGATGATGGCGAAGGAAAATCATGGCTTTCGCCTTATCCTAACTTGATGCTTCATTTCCTTCTTTAATAGTGTCACCAAGACCTTTAGCGTCAAGGTGAATTTCAGCATCAAGTACTTATGGCAAATAGTTATTCCCAGAGATGTCAAGTGCCATAAATTCAAGCTTTGACAAATTCGACATAGTGAAAACTATCATAGAAATAAGTGAATTAGAATGACAAGAATTATTATCAATTTAGTGCAGTGCATAATCATGTATTAATATTCTATATATAAAATTATCAAACAAATAATTATGTGCAGTGCGATGATAAATTAGTGTTTAATATTACCCACAAAAATTTTAGACATGTAAGTATATTTTCATAGAATAAATAAGTTGAATTAATATGTACTAGTATAATTTTGTTCTACTTAGAATACGTTTCAATAAGCTAAGTAGGCATAAACTAGATGATATCAATTCTGACAAGTTTCAACATTCAATACGATTCATCTAATAGTTCAATCGTTAATTTTAAAGTCATTAATTACTTTGTACACTTAGGTGATAAATTTATTGAAGACACGTTTAAACCTTTTAAAAATTTTGCAAGAATTCCTTCTAAATGCATATTATGTTAGAATATTTGGATGTGGGCTTAATTAGTCTAATTATTGTAATTCAATTTTAATACTTATTTATTTATTTATTTATTTATTTATTTATGTGTAGGATTAAACTTCTTCATAGTTTATATAATGAAATAATAATTTAACCGAAACTTATTGTTTTCATACCAATACAATTATTATAATCATATTCAAAACAAGTTATGCATATGGTAATTAAATTGCAGGTTAAAGAAGATCCTAATAGAAATGTTATAAACATAGAAATGTATACCTGAATCGGAAAAGAAACTGACTACCTCTTTTAGGAAGAAGATAAAATTTGGATGAAGCAGATAACTTCAGTTGGTTAGAACCTCATGCTGATAACGTATTATAAAATTATAGCAATATAAGTCAAGAAATATAGATAAAACTTTTCTTTTATCAAGTTGTATTCAAGTCTATCTTATTGATGTCTTTTGTAGAATTAGAAATACCGTATATATATAGTGTATAATTTACTTGAGCGTTACAAGATATTAAATGAATATAATAAACATATTTATGTATATCCAAAATAGTTAATGGATGAGTTTTTGGACATTCACAAATTCAATGTATTTACAACAGATACTTGTTAGTAGTCCATGTTATAAGGAACCATTTTTAATGTATCCTTGAGGACTACTTTGGACTTTTTCTAATTTTCTCCGAGCAAGTCGGAGCAACTCAAAATTTAGTGAACTGAAATGTAACTAGAGTATACGTGAGGTACTAAAGTACTACTTATCCTAGTGAAGGGACTATAACCGTTATGTATATAAGGGTTTGTCATCCCCACAAATTTTCAAACCCAACTCAACCTTTATTCTCTGCGTATGTATCTCTCGCAAAATCCCTGCAAAACCCTAGTGCTCTCTCAATCAATGATCTAATGTGGTGATTTGATCCCTGGTTTTTCAGGACAAAATATCCATTTTTTGGTTGAAAACCCCAATTTGTTTTGTCAAACAATGCCTCAAAAGTTCTTTTTCTGTTTGTGTGAATTTGAATAGGAAGAAAGATTAAGTTCCCTCCAATACCCAGTATCAGTATGTCTCCTTAACTTCAATTCTTTTTACCACTTTTATTTGTATCGGTAACAAATTTAACAGTAAAAGATATTTTTTATGTTATCTTTAATGAATCTATGAGAGAAGGATTATCTAAGGTATTTGCTTTCAGTTTATATTTGGTCCTTCTATTTTCTTTGTTTTTCTATTTTATTTCTTTTTCTGGTTATAGGTGCTATATCATTACCTTGACTATGACTATATGCACGGCCACCGGTGTTGAGTAAATTTGTTCACAAAGGTGGGAGCACATGGTCTCACATTGATGTATTTTGCTTGTGTTTTCTTTCGGGATATTTTCCTTCATTCTTGTTAATGCCCCTCTATATATGGTCCTCTCTGTTCAATACATGGATATGTACACAGATAATATGTTGATGATTAAAGCATAGATCAACTCTTAGAATTTCTGGTCGATCCTTGTAGCATTTGAGATATCTATGTGTTAAGAGCTTTTATATAAAATGTTTTTGCCAAATTGCATTTTCGCATATATGTGACATATGTCAATACGGGGTAAATTTGATGCCAAGTTTGCGAAATGGGAAATCAACTCAAGCTTCATTTTTTTTATCACGTATGTGAACTTTATCCCCAAAATAGTTGAGATGTTTTTCATCTGCCCAAACAAAATTTATTGGTGGGGAAGGTGTTATGGACAGTCAAATCGCATAGAAAAATATATGCATTTTAAATCAACTTATTTTTATTGGACCAGTTATGTGATACATCTGCCTTTATTTACTTCCTTTCCCTTTCTTGAACTGTATACAAGTTAATCTGCCCAAATTTTCTCTGGATAATCACTTCCTGACTGCTGCTGGAGATCCTTACATTCGATTATTTAACATTAACTCGAACACTCCTCAGCCGGTAGGTTTTAGACTGATTCTATAATTATTTCCTCTCTTAATGCCCTTTTGTTTTACCTGGTGCTTTCCTTTGTTGTGGCTCTGAAATATCTAGTTTGAGTTCCCCATGTTAAACAAAGAGTTTGTCACCTTTTTTTTTTTTCAGATTAGGAGCTTTGATTCACACACTAACATTGTGATGGCAGTAGGATTCCAATGTGATGAAAATTGGATGTATCGGGGATCTGAGGTTGGCACTGTAAAAATTTGGGATTTGAGGTATTGTAGCTGTCAGACAGATGGTTTGCTACCTTTCCAACTTTCATCTCCTGTTTAAGTCAACATATATTTGAATCTTTTGAGGTTATCAAAAATATATTTGAATCTTTTGAGTATATGCACCAGGTCGTTAAGAGGGAATATGAAAGTCGAGCAGCTGTGAACACTCTAGTTTTGCTCCCTAATCAGGTTTTATACTATGTGTCTGAATCTGTGAAGCACACTATATGCTTAACCTTTTGACTGAATGTTTGAACTCAGAACCTTACAGAGAGCTGTGTATTTAGTCAGCTTTTATCCTGCATATTCCTCTTGAGAAAAATTCTATAGCTTCATTCACTTTCTTCATATAAAAGAATCTCCATATCAATTCTATGAGTTTCTGGTTGAAGGCAATAGTTTGAACGAGCTATTTGGATCTTGATTGCATCAGAAAAAAAGGAGGTTGTGCTTAAGAAAATAGACATAGCATTGGCATCCATCTAAACCGATGTATGATGTGTAACATTTACTAGTAGTCCATCTTTGCATGCTGCCATGCCACATATTCTTATATTTAATAATAAACCGGTCTTTCAGCTATGTTTTGTTGATTACTTTTTTGGTATGTTTTGAGCATGTTTTAAAGTTTTACAAATGCTTTTGCAGATTACAAATATATTAATCTATAGTAAGTAGTTTCTCAAATATCATATCATTCAATCAACTACGCCTCAATTTAAAATAGTTGGTTTTGGTTATACCAATTTTCCATATCCATTAACCTCTATTAAGGTCCATTACATTCTAATAGTAAATTTGTTAAGTGGTTCTCTGGAATTAGATCTGAATCTCATTCTTATTACTACAGCCAGTCTCAATCCAGAATAAAAGGATCCTTAACAAATATCTGGCCTTATGTAGGTGTAATGACAACAGCTGTGCTTCAACCCGATTAGATGATTGTTTGGTTCCATTGTGTTGCATTCGTAGTTGAAACAATTTCCTTCAAGTGATTTCAGGTTTACCTTATCCTTTTTATTACCTTTCGCTTTTCATATTCTCGCACCAAATGATCGATGCATATCGAATGCGTAGAACATAGTCAAACATATTAAACATCCTCACATTTTATCCTTTCTGTGCTATATGCTCCATTTGTAGGATTTAATCATTTCTAATCTTGCTCAAACATGTATGACTGCATGTCCATCTTAACGTTCGTATTTTCTACGGCATTCTTCTTGTGATTATGTTGGACCTTCGATGTCCATCATTTACTTCTATATAGTATTAGTGGTCTTAAACTTGTTCTATAGAACTTTTCTTTCTTTTACTATTGTTCTTTTTTTGTTAGGTATCTTTCTATCCTGCAACACTCCAATGTAACTCCTTTATTACAGTCATCATGTTATAGTTTTATATGTTACTTCTTTGTCTATCATATAATCTATTTGAATATTGATCCAAAATATTTGGATTGTGTGCATTTATGCGCTACAATCTCATATATCTCCCTTAACCTTTATTCTTTAATGGGTGCAAACTTATAGTGCATATATTTTGTCTTAATTCTACTAGCCATAAAATCCTTATTCTTTAGAATCTATCTCCATAATTTTGACTTTTGGTTGATTCCTTCACTAGTTTCGTCAATTAACATAACAACACAACTTTGCCTTAATCTATAGCAAATTGGAGCCAGTTGTATGAATCCTGATTGTTCATATCTCTCCATATAAGCTTCTTAATCCAAGATAAATTCTATACTTCTTATATAGTCAGACCTCTCTATAACAACATCCTTATATAACATCACTTTACTATAAAAGCCAAGTTTTTCCGGAATCAAATTTCATTTTCTGTTATAATATATGTTTTCTATAACAGCAATTCGCTATAACATCCACAAATATCTGGAACAAACGAGGCTGTTATAGAGAGGTTTGACTGTATATGAACATGGTTTTAGCTCAAACATTAATAAATTTTATTACTTTATAAAACAAAGTTTTTCTAAGTCCAATACTATAAAATTTTTGTTAGTATTAGAAGCTCTTTACTTTTCTTACTGGTAGGGGTGTTCATGGTTCGGTTTGGATCGGTTTTTCCCTAAAAAAAAACAAACCGAGTAAGTCGGTTCTTCAAATATTGGTACCAAACCAATTAAGTCGGTTTTTATCGATTCGATTTTTGTCGTTTTTTTTTCCGATTTTTTCGGTTTTTTATCGGGTTTTTTCTTAAATATGAGACATACACTACCAAACACATATTCCGGCGACTACATTTTCAATATAACACTCTCAAACTAATTGCTCTTTGAGAAATCTATCATTTACCAAGATTTATTGATCAAGATATATTGATGATAATTGAATCAAATAGTGATGAATAAGTTACATACTCAATTAAAAATCGATTATATTTAACATGCAATAAATTCTTGTACTTAGCAAAAAAAAACTACCAATCAAACTAGAATGTAAAGGCAAAGAATTAGAGAATTAAAATAGCAAAGAACTAGACTAAAAATACAAACGACTAATATGTACCATAAAATATTATAAACTTTGTATAAGAATATACATATATATTGGTGTAATAATAAATTTAAATAGCTATTTCTATAGTCGGTTTGGTTCGGGTTTTTTCGGTTATTTTTTGATTAAAACCAAAACCAAACCAAATTTGATCGGTTTTTAAAATTCAAAACCAATACCAAACCAAACCTAAAAAATGATTTTTTTTGGTCGGTTTGGTTTGGTTTTTCGGGTTTTTATGAACACCCCTACTTACTGGTATATAAATTTCTAATAGGACTAAAAGACTCTTAGCAAACAGTGGACACACACTAAATAGACTAACATGTAAATTTAATCCTAACTAATTTGTATCTCCTATATAGATTCCCAGAGATTGTAGATCTTCAAACAAATATAAGTACATGTGTGTAACTGATATTTCGAGGCAATTTTGGGGGGCAGGGGGTATGCCTTTCCCTTAATTAGGGAGACAAGCTGTCCACATTGTGGTACTTTGGTATGGAAATTTTCTAAGTGAAAGGATAAATCTATTCCTTATAAAGTCTTGTAGTATTTTCCCTTGAAGCCAAGACATCAAATGTTATTTATTTTTGAAAAACAAATATGGACATGAGGTGACAAGAAGAAAAAAATTTGGAAAAGGCGAAAGAGTTGAGGTATCTTGTTGATTCTGAAGCTTGGCAAGAGTTTGACGAGAATTATCTGTGGTATGGACGAGAACCTCTTAAAATTAGAATTGGCGTTACAACTGATGGTTTTAATCCATTTGGTAACATGAGAACACCTTATAGTATGTTGCTAGTCATTTGAGTTCCTTATAATCTTCCTACTTGGAAATGTTTTAAGGACCTATTTATCATAATGTAACTGCTTACTCCTATTCCTCGAGTACTTAAAAAGGATATTGATGTTTATTTGAATCTGTTTTCTTGAGCCGAGGGTCTTTCGGAAACAACCTCTCTACTCCTTTGGGGTAGGGGTAAGGTCTGCGTACACACTACCCTCCCCAGACCCCATTAGTGGGATTTTACTGGGTTGTTGTTGTTGATGTTTATTTGAATCATGTGGTTGATAAATGGAATAAGTTATGGAGTGACGGTGTAAAGACATTTGAAGCATCAACCATGATGTGCTTCAAGATACGTGCTGTTGTTTTTTGGACTGCAAATAACTTTCTAACCTATGGTAACTACTTAAATTCTTTATCGTTATGTCTAAATAACACTCCCGCTGTTTTATTTTATGTAACTTGTTTGACTGGACACGAAGTTTAAGAATGAAATAAGTTTGAAACTTGTGGTATTAAACATACCATAACATTTATCTGGCTATGAAAGCTTGTCATTACGGGTAAATGGGAAGTTTAAGTTGCATTGTTTCCAAATTTAGAAAGAGGTCATTCTTTCTGGAACAAACTAAAAATGAATATGGCACATAAACTGAAAAGAAAGGAGTAGTACGTTAGAAAAGTGTATATAATTAACTTGTATAATACAACAACAAATCCAATATAATCCCACATAGTGGGGTCTGGGGTTAACTTGTATAATACCTGTAAGTTTTATACAGTTCAACTATATAAACTATTTTTTAACATATATTACTTCATATGAATCAACCATCAGGTAATTTATTTGGATGAAGTATTAAGGGATACATGGCATGTCCTATTTGCAATAAGGATGTCTTCACACAAGTTAAGAAGTAAAATATATTACATGGGTCACTATCGATATCTTGAACTCAATCAAATATAGAGAAGTAAGAAATTTAAAGGGGAAGTAAAATATAGATCGAAGCCAAAAGTTCTTTTAGGAATAATATCTTATAACAACTGAATTTCTAGGTATTTACAGATCAGGAAAACACCAAAATAGAATAAACGTCATCCTAAAGAGTCAAACTAAGTGAGGAAGTATTTTGTTTGAAATACCATACTGAAAGATTTTGAAGTTGCAACATAATTGAGATGTAATGCACATAGAAAATAATATTTGTATGGAGGCTTTGGAGACATTTTTTTAGTACTGATGGGAAAACTAAGAGCACATATAAAGCAATGAAAGATCTTAAGGATATTAACATAAGAAGGAACTATGGTTGCAACAAATGTTTCCATTTATACTAGACTACTTGTTTGTTGTGATATGTCAAAAAAGGGAAAAAGTTTTTTGTGCATCCTTAAATTTGTTTCTTAATAGTTATGCTTTAAAATGTTACAGTGTGTAACCGTGGATGATGCTAAGATAATTGGACGAAAATATCATGACTATCATGTCCTATTACTACCAATGATGCCTATTCGTATTTAGAAATTTGTAAAATGACATAATGGTCACAACTTTTTAATTCAGTCATGTTACCATCATTCATGCTTATACACCACGATGTGTTTGAAGCATAACCATTAGGAAATTCTACATATTATAAAAATGCACAAAAATCTTGTTCTTTTCCTTTTTTTTGACATATAATAACAAACAAGTGTCATCGTATAGTTGGAATCATTATGCTGCAACCATGGTTCTTTTCTTACATTCATATCCTTAAGGTCTTGTTGCTTTATATGTGTCCTTAGTTTTTCCATCAATATTGAATGATGCCCCTAAATAATTCTCACAAATATTTTTTTCTATGTGCATGACATCTAAATTATGTCGTTACTTCAAACTCTTTCCGTATGGTAACTCAAAACAAAATACTTTCCTCACTTAATTCGCCTCTTCAGGACGATGTTTATTTTTCTTTTTATTTGGTTGTTTGCATGATGTATTAGTTATAAGGAAATCTAATTGTTGTATGACATCATTTCCAGGTAGCTCTTTTGGTTTCAAGTTTTTTCTACTTTTCACAAATTTTCCACTACTTCACTTGTGATTGGGTTCAAGATACTGACTGTGACCGATATAACATATGGTACTTCTCAACTTTTGTAAAATGTATTCTTTTTGCAAATAGACATCCATGTATCCTTTAGTGCTCTATTAATGTAAATTACATGATTCATAAGAAATAATATATGTTAAAAGGTAGTTTATATACCTTGACTATATACAACTTGCAAGTATTATACCAATGAAATTATATAAAATTTTCTAATTTACTATATCTGTTTCACTTTATGTGAACCTATTACTATTTGGGGAGTCAAACAAGACCAGTTTGTTTGCAAATATTTTTTTAATATTTTGAATTGTTAACTATTGTGTCCTAAAGTACTTTTTGTGTAATTTCTAAATATGTAAATTTTATTTCAAAATTTTTGAAAATACTATGCTCAAAATTCACATAAAATATTAGTCAATTTGACCCTCATACTCTAGAAAGGTTCACATGAAGTGGGTCGGAGGAGTTATTATATAGACATCATGGACGGTAAAAAATTTAAGCACTTATCGTAAGATGGAAAGTCATTTGTGGTCTATACAACATGTATCCTGAAGTGCTTTCTAGTTGTTCCATCAAATGTCTCTATAACATCACTCCATAACTCATTCAATTCATCAATAAATCCTTATCCTTTCTAGGTGCTTGAGGACTAGGCAATGACATTATTGTTTAACCCTAAAAATAGTTTTACAATCAAAGCATTTAATTTTATATTTTGGGGCACTAACAATCGATATAACTCACTTTTCCAAATATAAACAATATAAATAGGAATAACAATTGAACAAAATAATTGAGATATAAAAGAAGAGAGAAACCTTATTGATGTTAGTAGTACTTTTTCGGTGTTAGCAAAATATTGAATTGCCAGAAATAGAACAATGAGATTTAATAATGTAATTGAGAGACTAATTGAGTAGTTTTCAGATGGGGATACAATGAATAAGGGTGTAAATAGTATTTATATCCGTAACTGATTGTCTTATCCAACTCTTGTTCGTTACTATCATTTATTGCATTTATTGTACGTCACATAATTGATGCGTAATCGATGGCATAATAATAGCGAATCTCGCGTAATCCAGGATTAAATTCTTTTCTTATTCGTAACTATTAGCCCAGAATTGACCATGAAGGAAAAGCCCTGAGCCTGTTATGGAAGACCGTTCCGGGTCTTTTCCATAACATGCTCGGGGCTTTTTCGTGTAACAATCTTCCATAACAGGCTCGGGGCTTTTCCTTCATGGTCAGTTCCGGAGCTAATAGTTATGAATAAGGAAGGAATCATTTAATTCCGGATTACACGGGTTTCGCTATTATTACGACATTGATTATGCATCAGTTATGTAACGTACAATAAATGACAGCAACGAGCAGGATCTGGACAAGGCAATCAGTTGCGGATAGAAATACTATTTAAACCCATATTCCTTACATTGTATCCCTATCTGAAAACTACTCAATTATTCTCTCAGTCACATTATTGAATCTAATTGTTCAATTCTGGCAATTCAATATTTTGGTTACACGGAAGAACTACTACTAACATCAATAAGATTTCTCTTTTCTTTTATCTCTCAATTATTTTGTTTAATTGTTATTTCTTTTTATATTGTTTATATTTGAAAAAGTGAGTTAAGTCGATTATTAGTGTCCCAAAATATAAAATTAATTACTTCAACCGTAAAAACTATTTTTAGGGTTAAATAACAACAACAAACCTAGTATAATCCCTCAAGTGGGGTCTGCGGAGGGTAGAGTGTACGTAGACCTTACCCCTACATGGTGAATATAATTAGGGTTAAACAATTATCATAAATGCATCCTTAAAATATTTCAAGAAGGAAGATTTAAGGAACTAAAATGACCGGTCTATGTGCTCATGTTATTAAAACCATCAATTGCAAGACCTCAGTCTAATTTTACGAGGTTCAAATTACTGATGATTGCAAGGCAGGTATGTACTGAAGTTATTGTGAACTATAAGAATGTTTCTGATGCTTCCTCCCGGCTAAAGTTTAACTTGACCAAGCATTTTTGGTGCATTGAGTAGTCATTCTGTCTTGTGTCTTTGGATTGGGCCGGTTGGCTGAGACATGGAGTCATGTTGTTTCAACAAATTTTCTTTTTCTCAAACGAGGAAGGATTTTCCGTATCATTAGAAACAGGAAATAATTGACTGTAGAAGGGAGTTAGGGAGCAAAGGAGTTTTACTCATTTTGTTCGACTATTCCTTGGTTCTTCAATTCTTTTAATCATTTTTAGATGAATAACTCTCTCTCTTTCTATTTTTTATTTATTTTGGTATCATGTGGCTGTCATTTATTGGACTCCTTAATATTGGTCACTTTTGTTTGTTTACTGTGGTTTTGGTTTCGCTGTGGGTAGAAATTAGGCATTGAAGAGAGCTTTGCTGTTCATCAACACTCAACAGTTGAAGGGTTCCTCCCTTTTCTGTGGACCGGGTTAATTGCATGGTGGACTAGAGGCTGATTCAAGGTTTGAAGCTTGAAAACAATAAAATGGTGTAGATGAGCCAGCCTATGTGATGATTTAGAGAACCTTTCAGACTTCCCCTTTATGCCGAAAGACCTTTTCAGATGAGGCCAATATGGTTCTGTTTCTCAATGCTCCATTGTCTTAGGTTCTTGCTCTCCATCTTAATGTCAAGTTTTAATAGTGAGTCTTTTAAGTATTCAGCTTTTCAAATGTTCTGACATAAAGCAACTAAACTTAAGCAACAGACCGATTGGCTAAGACATCAAAGTGCACCAAGGGGAGCATAAGGCAACTGTATGCTATGCTCTACAGGGCAGACCTGAACCTTCTAGCTGAACCTGTAACAGGCATCATTCGTCTTTTACATCTCGAACCACAATATGCTGTACAGGTTTTCGGGGCATTTGGTGTACATGGGATAGCATTCTACCATCCGTTTGCTTCTATGGCATCCATTTTGAGATGTGTTAGGTCTGAGATTTTAGTTTTTAACGAAGTTATGATGTAAGACTGAGTTCTTGGCATGAGCTTTTAGCATGAAATGATCCTTGTTATTTGATCTTCAGGTTTGGAATTTGCCCAGCCCCTGCAGATCAAATGCAAGAACATATGCAAATTTTACATGTGAATTTTTATAGGGATGGCAATTGGGGCAGGGCGGGGCAGGGCTAACCTTAGATGGGGCGGGGCAGGTCTAACTTTAGATGGGGCGGGGCAGGGGAAGATTTTAATGGGGCAGGGCGGGGCAGGGCAAAGTGTTATTTTTGAGAAGTTTTAATAGGGCAGGGTAGGGTAGGGCTCATTACGGGTTAATAGCTGGGTCGGGTAAAAATAAGTTAGACCCGCGTACTTTTGTTATTTTTCCCCAAATCTGAAATCCCCAAACGCCCAAACCCTCCAATTCCCAAACTCAGAAACTCTCCTGCGATTCTTCTTCCTCTTTGAACTCTCTTGCAATTCTTCTTCCTCAAACCTCAAACCTTCTTCGATTCTTCTTCCTCCGGGCTCGGGGCAAAGTTTTCTCCAGCAAATCCAGGTAATGCTCTCAATTTCTCTTTCTCTCAACTTCTTACTCTCAACTTCTCTTTCTCCATCACAGTTGGTGTTGAATATTCAATATGAGTTGCGACCCATTGAAGTCATGTATATCTGTTCTGTTGATGAACATAAAGGTACTATATGCTCCATATGCAAGCACTAAAATACCAAAATTATCGCACAAGAGCTATTAATTAAGTCTAATTTAATGTACAAGTTGGCTTTAAATGTATTAAAAGATTGAATGTGTATTAGTTACTCTTGATATGCTTTGGAGTCGTTCTTTAATAGTTTCATAATCATTTAAAGTAATGAAATTGACACAACCAAATTGAGAAAATCGTACTGTTTGAACAATGAAAGTGATGAATATTAAAGGAACCTATTACCAGCATGAAATTTATGATTTCAGTGTTGGGAAGAGTCAAAACTTGGCAACTTGTGATACAGTTACCTTACTTCTTTCTAAATATCAGCTTACTTCTTTCTAAATATCAGCTTTTAGTGATACTTCTTGTCTTTGTTTTACTGGATAATCATGGCATCTTAAAATGAAGAGAATCTGCCAGCTTCATCTTCTAATGTTATTTCCTTAGACGATGAGAGTCGAAGGCCTTTACAATCTGATGAAGTTGTTGAAATGGGAAAAAGGGAGATATTCACGAGCATGGAAGCATTTCAAGCCGGTGAAGTTTAATGGTGTTCCATATGGTGTTTGTAAGTATTGCAATCACCGATATAAAAATGCTAGGAATTGTGGTACAAAATCTATGTTAGATCATATACCTAAGTGTCCTAATAGGTCAAGAGATGTACAAAATGAGGGTGATACCGGGGGTGGTTATTTTGATCAAGATGTTTTACGTAAACAACTTGCACATGCCATTATTTTACACGAGTATCCACTCTTTATAGTTGTTCATGTGGGATTTAGGAACTTTGTTGCGAGTCTCCAACCTATGTTTAAGATGGTTTCCAAAAATACAATCAAGAATGACATAATAAATTTTTTTGACAATTTGAAATCGCAAACTTCTAAGTTGGAGAAAGTCACGAGTAGAATTGCAATAACAACCGATATGTGGACTTCCAATAGTAATAAAAAAAGGTTCATGGCTATAACTGGTCATTTCATTAATGATTCATGGAGGCTTCAAAGTCATATTCTGAGATTTGCTTATGTCCCTGTTCCACATGATAAAGATGCTTTGTGTGGTGCTTTGGTTAATTGTTTGTTTGATTGGAATCTTGAACGAAAAATATCAACTATCACTATTGATAATTCTAGCACAAACAATGCTATGATTAAAACTTTATTGGATGAGAAACTTAATAAAAAAGATTTGTTGTTGACTGGTCGAGTATTTTATGTGCGTTGTGCTGCATATATTTTAAATTTGATTGTGCAAGAAGGCGCACGTTTGGTTCACTGTTCTCGTAACAAGAAGTTGGAGTATGATTGGCCTGCTCGGTAACTTAACATATTTAATGTTGAGAACAGCTATAGAATACAAAGAGGTATTTAACAAGTTGAGTCTAACTGACACAAATTATCAGTCGTATCCAACTGAAGAGCAATGGAGTAATGCAGAAGATGTTTCTGATAAGCTCAAACTTTTTTATCATATCACTGAACAGTTTTCAGGAACTCAATATCCAACGTCCAGTCAATACTTTACAAAAGTTTGTGAATTAAGCTAGAATTGGAAGCTTGGGTGAATGAGTTTAATCCTTTGATTAGCGATATGGCATCTGCGATGTTGAAATTTAAAAAATATTGGGATGATGTGCATATTTTGATGGGAGTAGCTGCAAGCTTTGATCCACGGTACAAGATGAGGTTGGTAGAGTTCTTTCTTCCACTAATTTATGGTGAAGAAGCTTCAACTAAAATTCAAGAAGTTCGATCCAATTGTTATGATCTCTTTCAAGATTATAAGAGTAAATTATCTGCTCCACATGATTCATTAGCATCTAGTTCTAGTGAAGTCACTAGTTTTACTCGGGGTGATCGGCTTTCGAGCTTTGATAGATTTGTAGCTTCAACTGGAGCTACCGTGGAGAAAAGATCAGAGTTGGATATGTACTTAGAAGAAGACCTACTACCTCGAACTCCTTCATTTGACAATTTGAGTTGGTGGAAGACAAATGGATGGAAATTTCCTACATTGCAAAAAATGGCTCGTGATCTCTTAGCCATTCCCGTGTCTACTGTTGCTTCGGAATCGGCATTTAGCACTAGTGGGAGGTTGATTAGCCCGCATCGGAGTAGACTCCATCCCACTACTTTGGAAGCTTTAATGTGTGCTCGCACGTGGTTATGGAATGACTTAATTGGTAAGTAATTTTCTCACTATTGTCTTAATAGGTATTCAATTATTTAATACTATATTGATACATTGAACTATGTATTTTTTCTTTTAGGTTTGACTTCTACGATTGATAAAGTTTCATGTCCAACATTGCTTGATGAAGAGGACGAGCCAGATTCAAGTGGTTTATCGCAATTCTGAACTAAGTTCCATCCTTAAAACATGGAGTATGTAGTTCTTCCTTCTCCTTTAATTAGAAGTAGTTCCTTTGTTGTTATCTGTTTGGTTGACATTATTATATAGGCGACATTTTTATAGGAGAGTTTTGAAACTGCACCTATAACTAAATTGTTGAAACAGTTGGTCATTTCTTTTTGGCTCCTTTGAGCAGTAACTAAATTGGAGAAGCAGTGCACTTGACTGGATTCAGAATCTTTCAATGTTGGCAAAACAGAATTGCCCATTTCAATTTCAGTTGAATTCAATCTCATAAGTCCTGAAATATGAACATTGCAGTTCAGCAGACCAGCTATAATCTGTATTTGATTGTTTGTTTATCAGTAGCAAATGGTGGGATCTGGGTTCTCCCAAAGATAACCTATTCCAAGCTCTTTTAGATAAAGTATTTCTGGCCTTTTCACCAGTGTTTAATCGATTGATCAACTATTCCTTGATTACCTATGAAGTTTTGTGTATCTGTTGCACTCTATTCGTCCCGTTTTCTCCAATGCAAAGAATTTGTCTTCCAATGCTTCTAGCAAATTTGCTTCCCTCCACTCTTTTTTCCTTGTTGGTCTGTAATGAAAAAGCAGATGCGATCGTCATGAAGATGTCCAAACTGTGACCATTGTTTGTCTTTATAATCCTTACTGTAGTTACCATTAGCTTACTTTCCCTTCCTTTTTGAAATTACAGGACAAAGCACTCGAGGTGTTGGGTATGCAATCAGATGCAACGGAAGATGGTTATGTTGATCAGGAGCTGTTTTCTCTAACATGGATAAAGGTATTGCCCACCTTCACTCTGCTTACTTTTGTCACTTCATAGTACTCCTCATTATTGTTGTTGTTGTTGTTGTCGTCATTGTTATCGTTGTAAGTGTTACCACCGTTGTAGTACTGCTGCTGGTGGTTGTTACTGTAAAAGTTGTCGCCACTGTAGAACTGTTGCTGCTGCTGCTGGTTGTTGCGCTTAGTACTATAATCGCTGACATTATTGCTTCATATATATTTATTGCTTCCTATATATATTTGTTGCTGCTTTTGATCGCATAGACCGGCTAGAATGTAGGTTGTATTGGGTAGAATAGGTATAACTCGTGAGATGATTTTTACGCCGTTCGTGTTTATATTTTAAATTTCATGTCAAAGAGTGTTATTAATTTGCTAGATTTTGAGCACGATGATTTTGCTCACGTCTAAATGATAGTACGACTAGCCTAAGCAATTACAATATGCTGGATCATAATTGGAAAAAGAAAAGAAAAATGAAGGTAGAAATATCATGCACTATTACTTTTCGGTTGAGTTAAATAAGTTGTCAAATATCAAGAATTGAGTTATTTTATATTATCAGTCATCATAGAAAACAATTTGCATATAGCTTCTGTGGTTTCTATTGAAAAGGTAAAAGAAATTAAAAGCATACTGCAAAATGAAAAATATAGAGAAAAAAATAAAAATAAGCCTAAACGGGGCAGGGCTTAATACAGCGGGGTGGGGCAGGGCAAAATTTTGATATAAGACTAAATGGGGCAAGGCAGGGCGGGTCAAAATTTTAGCGGGTCAAGTCTTGCCTTGCCCCGCCCTACCCTGCCCTGCCCTATTTATATTCCTAAATTTTTAACAATCATCCTATGTAACAACATTTTACTATAACATACAAGTGTTTTTTTAGACTGATTTTTATGTTATATTCTGTCCCCAATAATAACTTTTTACCTATAAAAGCAATATCTATTATTATAGCAAACTGATTTTTATGTTATATTCTGTCCCCAATAATAACTTTTTACCTATAAAAGCAATATCTATTATTATAGCAAACTGATTTTTATGTTATATTCTGTCCCCAATAATAACTTTTTACCTATAAAAGCAATATCTATTATTATAGCAAACTGATTTTTATGTTATATTCTGTCCCCAATAATAACTTTTTACCTATAAAAGCAATATCTATTATTATAGCAGTACAATCTTTGTAAAATTAATTCACTATAACAGCCTTACTCAAATATCTATATATTACATTATTTTATAATATCAAAAAAATAGTTAATGAGTTACTTTTTTGTTGAGACAATTTTAATAAATTCTGTAAAAACGTTAAACATTCTTGTGACCTTGGAACATGAGAAACTAAAAAATGAAGTTGGGAACTTTTCGTATTCTGCCATTTTTCACACCTTCCACTTTATTAATATTGTATTATATTTTTTAAAATTTTTAATTAATTAAATGTAAACATTAGTTGAGATTTTAAAATTAAATAATTTTGTCATCTTTCATAACATAAACGAATTAAAAAAAATCTTTTGGATATTTTTTTGGTTTATAATAGTTAAATAAGATCTAAATATCAAATGTGTTATAGTCATATAATAGTCTCTCTCTCTCTCTCTCTCTCTCTCTCTCTCTCTCTCNTAACTAAAACTTTATTTATTAAATCTTTCCTTATTGACTTATTTTTTCCTAATATAAATTCTTTTTCCTTACTTTATATTAGGGTTAGCGAACGACATCTATAAAGCATGATGAAAACTAGAATAAGTAACCTGTTTAAGAAATAACAATTGCAATCAGTTCTCAATCGCTGCAAGCCTCTATTAGGTATGGTTTTCGATTATAAATTTAGTTTTTCCTTTAGCTTTTGGCTTTTAATTTGAGCTTTATGTATTTACTTATTTAATGAAATTGTTTAATTGTCTTGGTTAAGTCTCTATTATGAACTGTGGTAATATCTATTAATCGTCATTACTAGAGTGGTAATATCTAAATAGGTGTAAAAATCAATCTATTATCTAATAATCCGAATTTCATTCAAAAGAAAAATCTTAGTAAAATTATACAAAAATATTTTTTTTAGATTTAAATATCCGATAACATTTTAATGTAGTATAAATTAGGGCTTAGAATCAAAAAAATGATAGATGTTTCCTACAAATTGTTAGGTTTATAATATTAATCTTTGTAAATATTTAGTTGTAAAGTATTAATCTAGAGAAAAACAAAGGAAGATATCAATACAATTATTTAATTATTGTGTGTAGATGTAGAATTAGTTTATATTGTATTGTTTGTTTCCATTTCCAACCAAGAGGTTGTGAGTTCGAGTCACCCCAAGAGTAAGGTGGGGATTTCTTAGAGGGAGGGAGCCGAGGGTCTATCGGAAACAGTCTCTCTACCCCAGGGTAGGGGTAAGGTCTGCGTACACATTACCCTCCCCAGACTCCATTAGTGGGATTATACTGGGTTGTTGTTGTTGTTTGTTTCCAAATAGAAAAAACAGAAGACCAAGTGCGAAACCAAAACAAGACATCTTTTTTGACTATTATGATTGGTTACAACGACCACCAAAGGATGTGGTGCAGTGGATGGGGCTGCCCCTCCCTTAACCAGAGGTCTCGGGTTCGAGTCCTGAGTATGAAAAAATCCTTGGTAGGGAGCGCTATCCCCGAATGGGGCCCTACCCGGTACGAATCCGGATATAGTCGGGCTCCAATGCAGGTACCGGATATCGGATGGGAAATAATAAAAAAAAGGATTGGTTACAACGCAAAATGATACAGTATGTTTTTATTTGTTCATTATATGCAGAAAAACATAGTATAGAAAGAAAAGAGAATGCAAACGAAAAAGAAAAAGAAGGAAAGAGAATGCAAAAAATAAATATGTTGAAGTTAAATATATGCTCTTTTAATTTTAAATTTGAGGGTTTTCTGGTCCTTGAAAAATGCCATTCACCTTTTTTATCCTTTAAATAAATTACACTAGGCATAATTATTTTTTAATATTTAAGATAGTCATTTAAGTATTTTTAAATATTTAGGATTTCGAATTTTATTTATTGAATTCTTCCTCGTTTAAACTAGGCAAGACAACATATTTGTAAAAGAACCATAACACCCAAAAAATTAAAGTAGGAAAGTTTCGTCCACTTAGAACCTTTTTACATTTAAGAGACTTTATTCTTTGTATAAAATTATAACAAAATAATTTTTTATAATTTTATTATTTTCGTAACAAGAAAAAAAGTTAATTGAAAGAGAATAAACATAAAACTACATATAAAGTCTCGTGCACTTAGAACTCCTTTTACGTTTGGGAATGCTTATTCTAATGTGATAGAATAATAAAATATGTGTTGCTCTTTTAGTGTGAATATTTCAAAGGATATTCATAATTCACCTTAAAAGAAATAACTCTATAAAATAATTAAAGGCTACAAATTATCTCATTTAGAACTTAAAGTGTATACGTACATTTGAATTTTATTAAAAAAATTAAGTTTTAATTTTACTTCTAAAAATATCGAAGTTTATTATACATCGTAAACCAAACCAGTATTATGAGTAAAAATAATATCTTAAGTAAGTTTACAAATGACAGTAATATGTTTTGAATTATAATTTACAATTATAATCAATAATATAATGTGCTTTAATTTTATATTGTAAGCTTATACGTGTTAAAGCATTAACTAACTAGAAGCGAAAACAAAGATAAGATTTTAAAATTTATATATCGGAACTAATTGTAATAAATTGTACGAATTTCTTTATAAAACTTTAAGGTAATTATAAGTTTATGTTTTATTAGTTATATTGACTTTTTGCTGAAATAATGTTATTTAGGTTTGTCATTTAAATATTAGGAAATCAATATGTTCTATTATTTTAGATAAACGTCATTACAAAAAATATATGGGTCGGATGAGTCCATGGTCCAAGTCATCTCTTACCCTGATTTTTTCTTTGTCAATACATTTATTATTTTCTTTCATGTAACTATACTTTCTTATTTTTATACATCTCGATCTTATTATTATAATAATTAAAAAATCAGAAAACCCCCATGCAAAATTTTGATAGATTTTTTACCTTTAAAATTAATTTTACATTTAATAAAGTTTTCATTTAATATTTAAAACTTTGAAATCAATTAATATTATGGTTCAAAATGTAGTTGTTGTGTTCTACTTTTATAATGGTAATTTATTCTTTTTTAATATGATGAAAATGCAACAGCAATTTATTCTTTTTAATTTGATGGAAACAATTTATATAGTATTTCTTATAATTGATTAAAGAAATAGAACAACTTGAAATTTGCTTCCAAGAAAGAAAAAAAACTATCTTATGTTAGTGTGCTAACCATGTTTGTATTTTTAGAATGAACTTGAAAATGAAAAAAAAAAAAACTTGAAAATAGCTTTCAAAAGAGATTTAAAAAAGCTTTTAACTCTTCAAAGGCCATGTGTTCTTCCTCTTAATATTTATGCACTTTTTTTAAAATAACTTATTCATCAAAATAATTACACGCGCAACGTGGTACGTTAAGACTAGAATTATATTAAAAGCACGAAGCCCCTTAGCCAAATGTCGTTCGCCTTTTTTACCCTTAAAAAATTGATTTCACATTGGACAAAATAGTTATTTCACTATTTTTCTAATATTTAGTACTTTGAATTCAACTAAAATTTTGATTATTAAATTTTTCCTTACATGTCCAACATATGAATGAAGACCTAATATTTAGGACTTTAAAATCATTAAGGCTTTACCTTATATAATTTTTGAATTATATAGAATAACTATAACCTTCATATTACTTTTAAATCTCGTGCTATAAACTCAAAATGAAAATCGCTAACATAAAGAATAGTTTAAACATTAATATCGTTTACTAAAAAATAACAAAGAGCAAAATATGGGTCAAGACGTAAACTGCATGAAAGGCCAATTTATCCAATTTATTTAATTTCCAAATATGTCATATATGTAAAATCTTACTTTCGAGTTGACAAAATTCTATTTATAGAGTAGTGACACTAAAAGAAATTAAAAAACAAAACAAAACTGGTTGTAGTATCTATCTATCTATATCTATACTATATTAAAAGCATGAAGAATTTTACCGAAATGTCGTTCGCCTTTTTTACCCTCTAAAAATAAATTCACATTGGATATAATTATAATTTAAGTTACTTTCCTAATATTTAGAGTATTTAAATCACCTAAAATT